GAATGATGGAGAATATAATAATAGCTGATTTTGAAAAATCGTTTTTGCAATTGGAATTATTTCCATCAGAACGCAGCTGCACACGTTTTCTTTGATTGAAGAACATAGACAGGTCAATCATCGAAGAAAATTATATATGTTATTGTTTCCAAAGAGTTCCATTCAGCGTGATATCATTCCCCATTTTACTGGCAGCCACTCTCAGCTACCATTTAGAAACTCATGGAAGCTGAATTATATTATCAGCTAAAGGAAACAGTCAAACTTTATGAAGAAACCAAATGTATCTTCAAAGAAGCCTAAGTAAACATTAGAGTTTCTTTCGTTCAATAAAATCATTCCTAAACAGAAGCACGCCAGTTGAAGAAGATATTGGAGTTAATCGGAATGTTGCCCGAAAATCTTGAAATAATAGAAACCTAACAAAAAAGACAATTTTACAATTCATAATACAATTAAAATTACTATCGTAGAATCTATAGAGAAAAAACAACGCTCGGGATCAGCCTATAAACGAGGAAGATAAAAAATATGGTAATCTGTAAGAGAATGGTTTTCACAACAAGAGCAGTACGTTTAGAACAGGTAGAAAATCGATCGACTGAAAGTTCTTTACACATACTAAGAAGATTTGTTGCCTAAAATGAGTGATAATGCTAGCCAATCCCAATTAGTTTTCAAATAATTCCTTTATTTGTAAAGAATGCTATTAGTTGTTCACTTCGTCCCATAAATTCAGAATTTTCACTCCCTAGCTTTTTCACTTTAATTCGCCCATCTTCTGCATTTCATTGCAATTTGATATGTGAGACGGTACGGTTGCTTTTCTTTCTTTGTTATCATCTTCTTCACCTATTCCAAATATCGTTCATTTGACCGAATCGCAAGAACTTAAGATGTGAGAGGAAGAGCGCAAACAACAATGTCTTTTCTTTTTGTGTGACACTTCCACATTTCAGCATTTATTATTAATCTAATTTGTACCGGGTGAATAGTTTAAAACTGACAAAAGTGAAATTAGCGAGAAATTCGATTAGTTAATCAATTCCGATCAATTATTACATATAATATTATCAACAAAAAATTCATTATTTAGTTGATGGTTCACTTTTTTTATGCAATCCTTCTCAAGCCATTTGTCTTGATCCTCACCACATTGCACCAAACCAAAATTTATTGGATATTCGAAATGAAATCTAACCATTCTCCTCTAAACACACACTTTTTCATTTCTCAAAGTTTCTTCGCAAGCCGCTTCTTCTCTTCCTTCTTTTTTTCCATTTCTTCCCCTCTATCTGAGAAATCTATTTTTATTTTTTGATCATTCTTAAACGGAAATTATTTTTTTTTTCTTCTGGAAAGCAAATGTTATTTGTGGAAAAATAAAAAAAAATTTTTACTAAATTTCTCATTAACTATGATTTCCTAATAAAATTCTTACTTTGATTTTAGTGTGAATTTCATGACAAGCTGAGCATGACGTGTTTTTGTAACTGCCTTAAATATCAAAGAGTATTATTCAGGTGAATTTCTCTTTTGATACAGGAATTCATTTTCAGGTTTCTATTTTTCTATTTAAATGGAGAAACTTTTAATCCGTACTGTTATGTTGTTACTAATAAACTTTTTTAAATCTTCTCAGTGAATAATTCAAGCATGCAAGATGCGATGCTTTGATGATATTACAAACAGCCGATGTGCGATTTCAATTAGAACCCAAAATGATTACTCCGATCACATTACCGTTCATCACAGCAATTCCGACGAAATGATTAAGTGATAATTTTCATCACCTTTATACATTCGTAATAGGACTCACAATATCATTTGATTATTTAAAAATGATCAGATATATGTGCAAGGAAATTTATTTTCTTTGGAAACACTTTTTCTGTCATAAAATTAGCATACTTTAATTAAAAAAAAAAAAAACTGAACCCTTCTATTCTTAATTAATCAAATTTTGCCATCCTTTAATTTCTGTCACCCCTTTCTCTTTCTTTCTTTCTCTCTCTTTCTCTTCAAAAACCAGAATGCCAAAGGTTAAAGAACAAGATAGGTTTTCATTAGTAGGAAGGAAAATCTATTGATTCATTGAACACTGATCAGTGTACCTTATGATGTTAGTTATAGCATAAAGCTTGAATTGGTAGTATATGTTGAAATAGTCAGTCGTTTCACTAAAATGCTGTTATCTTAATTGTCATTTGCGGAATCAGTCATAAGAACCAGTATCAGCCCATCATACAATCACTTTCTTCTTTTCTGGATAAACTTCCGAAAAAGCCATAATGCAAGACGAATCCATTCCTTCGCCTTCTTTCAGTTCTTTCACCAGCATTCTTACATTATTCACAACTGTTCAGTAAACAATATCAATATCCTTTCAGTTTGAAATTTCGTCACGATCGTATCAAGATTATCAGGAATGATCAGTCGTTTGATAATAGTTACATTGCACATAAGCCTAACACAGTCTCTAGTGCAAATTTATTGGAATATATCAGGATATATAAATATATGTATTTCGACCAAAATGTCACATGTGCGCTTTTTTAATTTCTAATAATTTCTAATATTATTATATATATTAGAACTTTCAGTCGATCGATGTAAAGAACTTTCAGTCGATCGATTTTCTACCTGTTCTAAACGTACTGCTCTTGTTGTGAAAACCATTCTCTTACAGATTACCATATTTTTTATCTTCCTCGTTTATAGGCTGATCCCGAGCGTTGTTTTTTCTCTATAGATTCTACGATAGTAATTTTAATTGTATTATGAATTGTAAAATTGTCTTTTTTGTTAGGTTTCTATTATTTCAAGATTTTCGGGCAACATTCCGATTAACTCCAATATCTTCTTCAACTGGCGTGCTTCTGTTTAGGAATGATTTTATTGAACGAAAGAAACTCTAATGTTTACTTAGGCTTCTTTGAAGATACATTTGGTTTCTTCATAAAGTTTGACTGTTTCCTTTAGCTGATAATATAATTCAGCTTCCATGAGTTTCTAAATGGTAGCTGAGAGTGGCTGCCAGTAAAATGGGGAATGATATCACGCTGAATGGAACTCTTTGGAAACAATAACATATATAATTTTCTTCGATGATTGACCTGTCTATGTTCTTCAATCAAAGAAAACGTGTGCAGCTGCGTTCTGATGGAAATAATTCCAATTGCAAAAACGATTTTTCAAAATCAGCTATTATTATATTCTCCATCATTCTAAGTCAAATCAATATGCCTGCTCAATCAGGCAGTGCGATCAGGCCAAGATATAGAACATCGTTAAAAGGAACAATCGTTAAGCAAAATTGAAAATATCAAGTATCTTGGCCTTCAAAAAGTTCAAAGGTTTGTCTAAATGATAATTATGGTCTTTGTCTCGGAAAATTAAAAAATTAATTAGATGATTTCATACTGACAAACTACTTTTCAATCGTTACAACGAAATAATTCAAGAACAAATGGGATCCAATAAAATGGAAGAAGTAACCTCAGAAATGAATCAAGTTGGCTTTATATATATAATTTGCCGCATCATGAGATATTAACACCAAATAAATCGGCAATAAAATTAAGAATCGTTTACAATGTTTCCGCTCACATCAAAAGTATAAAAAGTGTGAGCTATTAGCAATTTCTATTAAATCAGTTAGAATTCGAAAGTGAACCAGTAATGTTATGACCTAAATGTGCATCCGATGTTGTACAAAAGGACTCCCTTCTTCAAATCAAACCTAGAAATTATAAATGTGGTCAAAAGCACCATTATGGCCGGAAAAGGAGGATAACTGACCACGATGGGAGTGTAACTGGAAATCATGGATATAGAGAAGAAAGCGAAATTTTTCTCGCAAATTTTTGTCACTAAGAAAATTGTTACAAAGGAAAATTTTAAACTTGTAGATGCTAATCGTTTTAACAAGTTCAAGATTAGTAAGAACAGTAACATTTGTTCTCAAGTTCATAAAATTAACAATAAGGAGAAAAATTCCACGGTTACAATCTTTATCAAAAATAAAGGGTCAGCTCACAACGGATGATTATAATAGAAAGATATTGATATAACTTTCAATCGATCGATTTTCTACCTGTTCTAAACGTACTGCTCTTGTTGTGAAATATATGAAGAACGCCACCCATTTTTTGCCATTCTCAGTTTTAATAGAAAAAGGAGCCATATAATCTAATCCAAAATATTCAAATGTTCGAGAACATATGGCTCGAGTTTTTGGAATGACTCTGCATGGCTGGGAGTCCATCTCCATCTCTTGTAAACCATAAATTTATCTGATTCTGTTCTCAATTTCGATAGTGTATGTGCAATTCCGACATGGTACAATTCCTCGTGTTGTTGTGTAAATCGAATATAAACTCTCTTCATTTGGGTTGTATCGTGGAAGGTAAATTGAATGTAAACCATCTATTTTTTGGGTTAGATTTTTTTTAGATTAATATTTTGGATTAGATTATATGGCTCCTTTTTCTATTAAAACTGAGAATGGCAAGAAATGGGTGGCGTTCTTCATATATTCACAACAAGAGCAGTAAGAACAAGAAAATCGATCGATAGAAGATTTGCCTAAAATGAGTGATAATGCTAGCCAATCCCAATTAGTTTTCAAATAATTCCTTTATTTGTAAAGAATGCTATTAGTTGTTCACTTCGTCCCATAAATTCAGAATTTTCACTCCCTAGCTTTTTCACTTTAATTCGCCCATCTTCTGCATTTCATTGCAATTTGATATGTGAGACGGTACGGTTGCTTTTCTTTCTTTGTTATCATCTTCTTCACCTATTCCAAATATCGTTCATTTGACCGAATCGCAAGAACTTAAGATGTGAGAGGAAGAGCGCAAACAACAATGTCTTTTCTTTTTGTGTGACACTTCCACATTTCAGCATTTATTATTAATCTAATTTGTACCGGGTGAATAGTTTAAAACTGACAAAAGTGAAATTAGCGAGAAATTCGATTAGTTAATCAATTCCGATCAATTATTACATATAATATTATCAACAAAAAATTCATTATTTAGTTGATGGTTCACTTTTTTTATGCAATCCTTCTCAAGCCATTTGTCTTGATCCTCACCACATTGCACCAAACCAAAATTTATTGGATATTCGAAATGAAATCTAACCATTCTCCTCTAAACACACACTTTTTCATTTCTCAAAGTTTCTTCGCAAGCCGCTTCTTCTCTTCCTTCTTTTTTCCATTTCTTCCCATCTGAGAAATCTATTTTTATTTTTGATCATTCTTAAACGGAAATTATTTTTTTCTTCTGGAAAGCAAATGTTATTTGTAAAATATAAAAAAAAATTTTTACTAAATTTCTCATTAACTATGATTTCCTAATAAAATTCTTACTTTGATTTTAGTGTGAATTTCATGACAAGCTGAGCATGACGTGTTTTTTGTAACTGCCTTAAATATCAAAGAGTATTATTCAGGTGAATTTCTCTTTTGATACAGGAATTCATTTTCAGGTTTCTATTTTTCTATTTAAATGGAGAAACTTTTAATCCGTACTGTTATGTTGTTACTAATAAACTTTTTTAAATCTTCTCAGTGAATAATTCAAGCATGCAAGATGCGATGCTTTGATGATATTACAAACAGCCGATGTGCGATTTCAATTAGAACCCAAAATGATTACTCCGATCACATTACCGTTCATCACAGCAATTCCGACGAAATGATTAAGTGATAATTTTCATCACCTTTTATACATTCGTAATAGGACTCACAATATCATTTGATTATTTAAAAATGATCAGATATATGTGCAAGGAAATTTATTTTTCTTTGGAAATGATGACACTTTTTCTGTCATAAAATTAGCATACTTTAATTAAAAAAAAAAAAACTGAACCCTTCTATTCTTAATTAATCAAATTTTGCCATCCTTTAATTTCTGTCACCCCTTTCTCTTTCTTTCTTTCTTTCTCTCTCTTTCTCTTCAAAAACCAGAAATGCCAAAGGTTAAAGAACAAGATAGGTTTTCATTAGTAGGAAGGAAATTTATCTATTGATTCATTGAACACTGATCAGTGTACCTTATGATGTTAGTTATAGCATAAAGCTTGAATTGGTAGTATATGTTGAAATAGTCAGTCGTTTCACTAAAATGCTGTTATCTTAATTGTCATTTGCGGAATCAGTCATAAGAACCAGTATCAGCCCATCATACAATCACTTTCTTCTTTTCTGGATAAACTTCCGGAAAAAGCCATAATTAGCAAACCGAAAGACGAATCCATTCCTTCGCCTTCTTTCAGTTCTTTCACCAGCATTCTTACATTATTCACAACTGTTCAGTAAACAATATCAATATCCTTTCAGTTTGAAATTTCGTCACGATCGTATCAAGATTATCAGGAATGATCAGTCGTTTGATAATAGTTACATTGCACATAAGCCTAACACAGTCTCTAGTGCAAATTTATTGGAATATATCAGGATATATAAATATATGTATTTCGACCAAAATGTCACATGTGCGCTTTTTTAATTTCTAATAATTTCTAATATTATTATATATATTAGAAATTTAATTTCTAATAAAAGACCATACAATTAAAGACGAAAAAAAGAGAAAATGAAGATATGTTGACGCTATAAGTTAATCATACGGAGTAACTTATTGAAACTGGGTGGGAACAACTGGTAGCCATGAGTTTCCGGAAAATGAGAAATCACAAGTTGGAATTGGGTAGAGCACAGCTCTCGTTGTACGAAAATACATACGTACACACGCACACAGACACAAACACACACACATACGTACGTATATGCACGTACACAGACATACATACAAATACACAGACATACATATGAACACACACATAGACACACGTTTTGTCTGTATTGTATTTGTCCCTTGCCAGGAAGAGGCCGTCACAAGCATCCGGAACAAAACAATTAGTAGTGGAAGGCACGAGTTGTCGATTTGCGACTACACAGTTTATTCAGATTACAATTGACTATTATGTTGTCCTCTGCAAAGGGCATAAATACTGTGTATAGGAGTGGCGGTGGTGGTGATGGAACAGAATCACCAAGAAAGCTAGAGATCTTTACTGCTAATATTGACGGTGCTGGACATGTACCTCCTGCAAGTATTGACTTAAATAATGCAACTTCTACTACTACTGCTGATTCCATCTTGTTCTCCCTGGATAACAATGAGAAAGTGATCGTTTTCAGTGATGCTGCTGAAAAATGCGCAACAATGGTGCTTTCCGCAGTATTTGAGGGTATGTCACTGAAGCTGGATAACACTTGTCCCCTATCCAGTGTAGTACCGGAACCGGATTTTGTTACTACATCCAAGAAGTTATTGGAGGGTGCCAAGTTCAATGCATCTAAGCACTGTGCATATTCATTAAGCAAGTCAGATTTAATAGAATTGAAGCGTAGTATCGTTAAATCAGATTTCAAACCCGTGCAAGACCCACTGTCAATATCAAAACTAAGGAAAAACTGTTCCGTTGATTACCATCCATGGCATAGTCCCATATTTGAAATTAGTAGTTTGGATTCCTCACGATATATCTGCGAGAGTCTTGTCGACAAATCATCTTAAATTGTATTTGTAATTTATTTATAATTCGGTGGATGAGTTAATTGATTTAACAAATAAAGAATCTAACCATGTAGCAAATGCTGAATAAAATATTGACTTGGAAGAGTTTCGTAAATTTTGACAGTCTGATACAGTAATAAATGCTGAAATGTAGAAGTGTCACACAAAAAGAAAAGAGGAATACTGTACATTTGCATGTACCCACCGCTATGGTAACATTTGCAACCCGTGCGGTCAATTATACCATTTCCGCCACTTTGTTTTCTTGCCATTCTCTCACCTTTCATAAGTCGGTGGAGTAATACCTGCTTGCTTGTCCGTGTGCAGTATTCATCTAAGGCCTGATCCGGCGTTTTCATTGGGACACATTCAAATACTGGTGCGATCTGCTGGTAAAATTGAGTTCTAAGGGTCGGGTAGTTCGTTCGTTTAGTGATTTTTATGGAATTAGTCAGGGATTTAAATTATGCACGGGGCGAAGTATTTTTAAACATATATGTTGCCTAAACAGGTGTAAAATATGTCCAAGTGAAGATAGTTTATTGACGTTGCGTTTGTGTGAAGTGATGAGAAGCGATTATGTCAGATGAGGAGAGAGGAATGCCTTGGTCGAAGTTCAGTAGTATTTCAAATAAATTGTGGCAGTTTTTTTCGCGAAATTTGGGTAAATCATTTAAATGAAACATCCTTATTATTAACTAAACACTCATTTCAACTGCGTTATTCAACACAGCTTTTTAATTCCATGCACTTGTTAAGAACGAAACTGTAAAGCATGGGCCATTCATCAAATACTTCAGCTGTTTCAGGTAGAACTGATGTATGACATTGACTAGTACGTAAAAAGTAATATTGTCGTACTAAGAATTTCACTTCAAATCAAACAACAGCAATATTCATTTTTTTTGTGATACAAAAAAGTGAAGAATTTTTAGATACCAAAGACGAAGTTGTTATTGAGAATGAACATGCGGATGATTCCAATACTAGTGGTTGGCAGCGATTGAAAAATGTATATTTTAATAAAGGTTTGTAAAGATATATCCTGTAATTTGTAGATTTTGAAATTTACTATGCTTGTGATGTTACAGATGTACATTTTGAGACCAGTATATTGATGCCATGTGTAGAATGGACATTTATTGGTACAGTATTCTTCACAGGACCTCTAGGATGGCAGAGAGCTGCTGACCGTTATAATCGTTACGCAAGGGGTCGAATATTTCTTAGTCCACGTGACGCACTGGTTAGTAGTCATTTATACGTTTGCTGCATTTGTAAAGTTAGTGGTACAAATAACTTCTATACCGATTGCTGCAAGAAATACTGTCAATTTTCTAAAGATGTGACTCCCATTACGCATCCTTAGACCACTTACCTATTTATTTCTGGTCTAAAACTGTAATGTCAATTAAAATTACCTCGTTTTTGTTTAAGAAATTTTTCAGAGGCGTAAATGGGATTATGCATTTACATCATTTCTGCGCTTGGGAGCGATTAACGGTACTCTAGCATCATTATATGTTGGATGTATGGTGTAAGATGTTTTTTTTTTTTTCTCGCTCTCTAATATATTCTTTCATAGTTCATGTCTTGACATCTTTCTGTTAATCTCACAAGTGAAATTAAAAAAAAAATGATACACATTTGATTTTAGATGGTCTTGAAGAAGTAAGCAGCAATGTCAGCACATTCAAAATGTTCAGGAAGTGTTCCATTTATTTAGGAATTTGAAAATGAAGACTAATGTTCGCATTTTGTGTTATAATTACTTTTAGAGCAGCGATCACACATGTTGCAGCATGGCGCGGCCATTTTTCACTTTGGACTATTCCCATTATAACAAGTGATTGTTTGCATTTTTTTTTTCTTTCGAAACAACTGAGGATTGCGAGATTCAGTGAAAATGTGAGTATAGAGTGTAGAACGCAATGAAAAAGAACTGATCAGAATTAGTTAATTACGTGATTTTTCGAAATTAAAATGAAGAAATGTCTTTTATTTCAGCTTCAGTGTCATCTGTAGTTGCATGTCCACTAGGTGTGCGAAAAATGGTGCAAGCAGCAAGTCTTGGCTTAACGTGCGGGTATCATTTTTGTTATTCTTTTTTTTTCTTAGATAATTCTAGTAGTAATGTTACGTCAGTTTATCGATTTAATTCTGGAAGTGAATGCGTAAAGCTTTACTCTTGTGTTGTTTGTGTTTGCTAACTAAAATTCAAACACTGATATCGTGATTTTTTTTTCGCTTTTTGTCTGGTATGTTATTTTCAGGCTGACTCTATCGTTGATCATGTTTAGCGTATCATACTTTTCCGCTCAAACAGTAGATGACACATATCAACAATTCAAACGAGAATATGAGTTGATATTAAGAGCTGAACGAGTTAAAGACGAAAATATAAAAATATATCAAAAAGAACATAAAATTTGGTCCAGAAATTTGGCAAAACTTCTGATGGATAAGGATAAAAAGCTAGAAAGTGAAAATTCTGAAATTCCCTCTAAATAAGATTTCTAATAATGAGTAACACTTTTTCTACATGCTTTTATTTTAACCCATTCGTTGATGCATCTCTGAATTTTTTAATGAATGCTTTGAATCTTGTATATTTGTCAGCCTCAGTTGAAACTGTGACATTGAGAAATATAGTTATATAAACTTGTTAGTGAACTGTTGGATGAGTTTGCAGGAATATGGCGTTCAAGTGGAGTTTTGTTCTAATCACTTTAATTTGCCCATCTTCTGCATTTCATTGCAATTTGATATGTGAGACGGTACGGTTGCTTTTCTTTCTTTGTTATCATCTTCTTCACCTATTCCAAATATCGTTCATTTGACCGAATCGCAAGAACTTAAGATGTGAGAGGAAGAGCGCAAACAACAATGTCTTTTCTTTTTGTGTGACACTTCCACATTTCAGCATTTATTATTAATCTAATTTGTACCGGGTGAATAGTTTAAAACTGACAAAAGTGAAATTAGCGAGAAATTCGATTAGTTAATCAATTCCGATCAATTATTACATATAATATTATCAACAAAAAATTCATTATTTAGTTGATGGTTCACTTTTTTTATGCAATCCTTCTCAAGCCATTTGTCTTGATCCTCACCACATTGCACCAAACCAAAATTTATTGGATATTCGAAATGAAATCTAACCATTCTCCTCTAAACACACACTTTTTCATTTCTCAAAGTTTCTTCGCAAGCCGCTTCTTCTCTTCCTTCTTTTTTTCCATTTCTTCCCCTCTATCTGAGAAATCTATTTTTATTTTTTGATCATTCTTAAACGGAAATTATTTTTTTTTTCTTCTGGAAAGCAAATGTTATTTGTGGAAAAATAAAAAAAAATTTTTACTAAATTTCTCATTAACTATGATTTCCTAATAAAATTCTTACTTTGATTTTAGTGTGAATTTCATGACAAGCTGAGCATGACGTGTTTTTTGTAACTGCCTTAAATATCAAAGAGTATTATTCAGGTGAATTTCTCTTTTGATACAGGAATTCATTTTCAGGTTTCTATTTTTCTATTTAAATGGAGAAACTTTTAATCCGTACTGTTATGTTGTTACTAATAAACTTTTTTAAATCTTCTCAGTGAATAATTCAAGCATGCAAGATGCGATGCTTTGATGATATTACAAACAGCCGATGTGCGATTTCAATTAGAACCCAAAATGATTACTCCGATCACATTACCGTTCATCACAGCAATTCCGACGAAATGATTAAGTGATAATTTTCATCACCTTTTATACATTCGTAATAGGACTCACAATATCATTTGATTATTTAAAAATGATCAGATATATGTAAAGTCATCTGTCATAGAATTGGCATATTTCAATGAAAGAAAAAATTTTGAATCCTTTTATTCCTAATTAATCAAATTTTGCTACCCTTCAAATCCTTCCTTCTTTTTCCCTCTCTCTCTCTCTCCCTCCAAAAACCAGGAATATCAAATGTCAAAGAACAATATAGGTTTTTAATATCATAAAATTTATCTAATGGCTGATTAGATACTGACCGATGTTCATGATGTCAAGTATGATGTATGCATAAATTTTTGATAATCAGATTGCTTAAATTTGCTCGTTTAGTGCTATATTTATAAACCAGTTGGAGCATTCTTGGAAGAGATGACTTTGAGTTTCTCCTCAACATACCAGTAGTGATGCCACAGAACAAAAGTGAAAAGCCAGTTCGAAGTGAAACCCATCAGATAAACAGTAAATGCCGTGCCGAATTCTGTATCCACCTTGCCGCTCAATGCGTCAAGCATTTTTGGCGCTGTTGCCATTGTCAATACTGCTAATCCGAGAGCATAAGATGATTGCATCAAAAGTGCTGAGAAAATTTTAATCAGAGAAGTTTCAATACTTGTTGAACTAAAAAAGTACGCAGGTTCTGCGTTATTCCACTGCTGAAGAATGGAATAGATTCTGACCGTTTCACATCAATGATAAAATAGTAAAAATAGCAGTGATATGCGGACTCGAATACACTTACCTGGCCAAAGTAACCAGATTGGTTTGATAAGGAAAAATAATGCGATTAACAGTAAAAACAATGAACTGGTATGTGACAAACACCAAACAGAACGCATAAAACCACCGTCCAGATAATTTGCAATACATTCACTGGTCCCTAGTATGCGATGCATTAGCCCGTAATCGAATATGATAATATCATAGGCTAAAAACTGAAACGAGGAACTGTATCTCAGATTATAAAGTGTTAAGGAGAGAGGAAAAAAGAGAACAGAATCAAATCTGATGCAGTATGACAAACACCGAAAGTTTGATTCTTGAATAATAACAAATTTCACTTTTCATTTTATCAAAAGTACGAAAATATTTCTTGGATTGAATTCATTAAATTTGCATTTTAGTCATGCAAATGATATAGATTCATGATGGATACGGCTTTAAACAATTTTTTTTGAAGCAAATTAAGGATTCAATCAGGCAAACAGTCCCATTTAACTTATCACTGATTAAAATGTATGTGACTTTAAAAAAATAATTTCTAAAAACGAAAAGAAATTTACCATCTCAGCTGAAGTTGAAGTTGCTGTGATATTTGACTGGCATGCAAAAATGGTATTGTTTTTTCGTATCGAGTAGGCATGCTAAATTAATTGTGCACTTAATTCGATTCGTTCATTTTTTTTTTCCTTTTTTTCTGATTTTAAATACTTTTTTCTTCAGATTTTAAATATGTTATCAATATTGCAAAAAAAAAAAAGTTTTTTGGTTTGATTATTTTCCGAAAAATTCTCAACTTTAATGGAGATAATCTTTTAAGCATGCTGATTTAATACCATGGATTATTATCTATCAATTTAATTTAGGCTTTTGATTAAAAAAAATCAAGCAAATAGTTTTTTCTTTCATCAGTGACTGTTTCATAAACTTTCAATTTCAACCGACATGAAAGCGTTCTTCCATACACAATCAATAGAATCATCTATATATTGAATGATTGCTTAGAACTGACACTACCGCATACTAAATGCAGTTATTTGTTACTACGGTTATTCATTAAATATTATTATAGGTTCCATAATATCATAATAAGGTAATTTTATTTTTTTATTACTTAAATTTTTTTGAAGTCATAAAATTATTAATTATAACAGTATAACTAGATTTTTTCCCCATCCTATTCAAATTATCTATACGATGGCATCAAATTGATTATCCTTGGCACTTTTATAACAATATCAACTGGAAAAGTTAGCATTATTTGGACAGACTTTTATTCATGTATTTATTTTTGTTTAGCATTCATATATGCGATAACATAATACATGAATAGTTTGAAATGTTAATAAAAGAAGGTGACCTGAAGAAGTGAAGTAAGAGCAACAAGAAACTGTAAAATTGCAAAGATGATACAAAGATATCTGTTTTTGAGAGGTAAACCACAAACGTAAGTATATTTATCTCCAATTGCAATAAATAAGCAAAGCTTCATGGGAACAAAAAGGTCTATTTATTGCAGATTGTTGAACTGCATGAAATCTGTTGAAGATTTTTTCTTGTTAGTGGTTAATTAGCACTTTTAGGCCCATTAACACTAATTCATTTTCATCCATAAATGTACATTTACACACTAGTCCAATATATTTTTTGCATCTTTACTACTCTAAACAAATTCTGGCTTGTAATGAAATGAATTTTCAAATTCTAAAAAGAATATCTTTCCATAAATTACAATTTAAGATAATTTTTACTTTTCATTGAAAGCATTTCTCATAAATTTTAAACTTTATTAAAACCAAAGATACGTCAAATTTCTTTCTCATTTTTTTGCTCAAATGCTAATTAATAACACATCACAAATGATTTCGTTTGAGAGATGTTTTTTTTTCACATAGTCTTCATTGAAATGTGACAACGAGTCAAGTGTACAGTAAACCGGGTCGAAACTACGAAGCGATGTTTTCGGCATTCGAATGTGAAGTTTGAAGTAGCTTGAGAGGGAGTGTTTGATTATTATCGTTTTGTTTGGCTTACTAAAGTTAGGAGAAAAATACCTAAATGGCAAGGCCAACGCATGGTTGTCCAAAAAATGTAGGAATTCTCTTTTGAGTTTATAAGTCAGATAAAAGTATCTGATAAATCATCAGCATAAGTTATAAAGTTTTTGCAGATTTACTTCTTATATAAATAAGAAGTAAGTAGGATTTATTTGCTGGTCAAAAATTTACCCCACTATAATCATCCAGAACTTACTGGAGCATACTTGTGCCTGTAAATTCGGATGGTTATATGACGAAAAATTCTGGTCGGAAAATAAATGTACATATGCTTATATTTAGGTGTTAAAGCAGGGCTTTATTCCATGCTGCTATTCAAAGCTATATCGGTATGTAATACTTGCTGATACGTTAACATAAAACGAATATATGAGTATGTGGAATGAGAATTAATCCTGATAGATTTGTTTTGTAGGTCTTAATATTCTCAAAAATTTTTTGCAAATTTCATAAACTTGTACGTGATTTTTGGTCAAAATATTTTTGCCTTTTATTCCAGTCAATAAGAAAAGTTTATTAAAAAAACTGACCACTATTTCATCAAATTACTTTCAATTCAAAAGCATTCTTTGCATTCTCTTTGACCAGTAGAGTGATATGATAACCAGTCTGTTGTCGTTGAATTTTTACGGAGTGCATCCGTATCATAATTAAAATATTACGCTGAATTGATAAATAATCTAGGATTAATGAAAACGTGTAGAATAATATAGAATTATTATGCCATTTTTTATAAAAGAGTCTGAGATTATGAGTTTTATTGCACATACATTGTGCAAAAGTGACTGGTTGAAGTGGATTTTTCGTTTTCTTTGCTTCATGGTTCATATGTACAATGATGTTCATTAGATATCATAAAAGAAAACATAAATAAGTGGAATAGATATTGTAAAGAAAGTTTCACTTGTTATTTTTGTAAATAGGAGTTGGGCAAGAATTATTGAGATTATGTAATGCTGATTTCAGTAAGTGTTTGTTACTTTTTCATTTTCTGATCATTATAGCTACCAGAGTCATACAGGGCCTTAAAGACTCGAAAAAGAAAATGGAGTGGGAATATTTCTACTTGAATTTATTTAGGTAAAGTAGAGAAAAACGTTGCAAGCTATGGGAGATGCTGAGTTTCAAGCTGCGGTTGTAACAACAGATTTAGAGGAAAAAGATGAAGAAAGAAAGCAAACAGAACGTGGGAAGCTTGTTCAAATGCAGAAAAATTGGTTGAAAGCGAGAAAAAAAATCGCATCTCTGGAGGCACAAGTGAATATGGTAAATAATTAAACTTAGGAAAATCCTAGATGATATAATAAAATGCCTGAGATAAAATGACACTGAAGTAATTTTAGAAAAGCAGGAGCGGAGAATCTAGTAATAAGCTTTTACAAGATCTATATGTAAAAGACAAATTAACACACTAAGCATTGATAATATGAAGCATTCGTGGAGTATGCTGAAGTCATTTGTTTGTAGAACTTATTAGACTACTAAAATTCGTAAAAATTATGCACTGAAACAACACAAACCATACTTAAATTTTATTTCTAGCATCGACTTCGTGAGGAAGCATTGGTATGTGAAATGGTTGAATTACGCAAGAGTCAGGAAGTGAGTCAAGCCAAATTCGATGAGGAACGACGTGAATGGCTCCGCGATATGCGGGCAGCTCAGGACAGCAAAGCAGAGGTGTTACAGCTTAGACTTTCACTTTTATTTTTAAAACATAGAACTTTTGTATAAATCTTTAACTTTTGTAGGTACTGGGTATTACAGTCCTTATTTGGTCTGATTTTCAAGGAAAATAGGATTTCTTGCTTTGTTTTAGAATTTTGACAAAGGCAAGACCGAGATAAATTTACTAAAAGCAGAAATAGCTGAATTAAAGTCGTGTCTGGATGATGCGGAGCGAACCCGTCTGTTTTTATTGGAAGACAACGGTAAAATAAAGCAACAGAAAGCAAAATTAAGGTTTTCCATCTTACTTTTTTTTTAAAAAAAAGATAATTTTATCCAAAGTATCATTGTATGAATTCGAGTTACTGCTATAACTAACGTTGTCCAGTACTTCATTTCAACCATAAAGCTGAATAATACTATGAACTGTAACCAGTTTTAGATATCCTAATGAGTGACCAGTTATATTGAATCATTGCCCTCGTTGGTTTTATGCAAATTCATAAATTATAGTTTAAATTTATAATGATAGAAACGTGCATTGTTTTATTTTCTAACTTTAATCCATTCCTTACATTAATATATAATTATTTTGATTATTTAGACATTAATATATAATTATTTAGATGTGATTACAATGAACTGAAGCGTGAACACAATAAGTTGCTCTTCTCTCAGCAAACTAGAACGACTTCTGTACGTTTTACAAATTTTTATACATGAATACTTTGACGTGTACTATCAGAATTAATAGTTTTTTTTAAATCACTGTTTGACATAGCCTTAATCTAAATACCTAGCCGTAATACTTTTCTTTTTAGAGAAAAAGTGAAGTTCTGTGCGATAGAAATGGAACGGAAAACATTCCAAATCGAAGCAGTCAGAATGGATTGATAAGTGGGAATAAATTTGAGAATTCCGTTCTCAGCCTTTCTGAGGTAGATTGTTACTTAATTTGCATTGTCCTTCCTATCTTGATTGCTTTATTCTTCCTACTTTGATTACATCATTTCCAGACGTGTAGTATATGCATTTCTCCAATTTCGCTTACACAGTCCGATAATTCCAATGTTACTATTATGGAAGCAAATTCTAAGCGTAGCGAAGATTCACTTGTCAGATCTGTAAGTATGCAGGTATTTTCAAAGTTTAGTATCATCACTGAGACCACTGAGGTCATTACAAGAAGAGCTTTAATGGTTGGCTTCATGAGTCTGTTTTCGGAGATCGGAATGTTTTGACCAATTATGGCATTGGTACTTATGAAAGATGCCTCTCTAGATTTTATATTTGGAATCTTATTTCATGGATTTTGTTAAAATTCTTTTAAAGAAAGCTGCATTCTGCTATTCAGGGGAGTGTAATAATGAAAAATACAGAAGAGAAAAAGTTAATCGGAGAGCTTATCGAGAAGCTGAAACACTCGGATGAAAAAAATCAGGAATTGCGAAAAGCGCTACACACTGTCGATGAGCAGTGCGAGAAGCTAGTGGTGCGTAAAATATCTTTAATAAAAAAAAAAAAGACTATGCATTAGCATCGTTAGCTTTCAAATCATCAAACAAAGCCCGATGGACACTAGAATAATGTTTTTGTTGATTTCATTTCATAATCACCATCATAAACTTTGCTGCTGATTGGATTGGAGGTATGAGTAACCAGTCTATTGCTCTGAATCCTATTTAGGAAGCTCTTAGGAGAACACACTTAGGAGTGTTCATTTTTTTATTATGTCGTCAACACTACTGAACGCTGAATGATTGGGCGTTCAGTATTGAGACAGTTGCTACTTTCAGTTCTTAAAGTCACATTTTTTATCTAGAAGTAAAAATATTTTTCCTGCCACAACTGTCAAGATTTTTTCTATGGTTTTTTCAGCTTTCTAGGGTTGTGTCTCTTATATTTGTTTGTAAATCGTATATGTTATCATTGCAGAGAAGTTTCCAGGAACTGAAATTACGATGTGAAGAGAAGGAGCGGAATCTTGCACTGAGTGCATCGATGTCTAGTGTAATAATACAAGATAGTAGTCAATATGGGCGATCAGATCTCGAAACGGAGCATTCCACAGCGGAAAAGGATCATAGGTCTTTGTCCCAGAAGCTTCTAGTAAATGTTTACTTGAATATTCTTTATGTTTTACAAACGAAATTATACTTTACCTTCAAGTGCATTGCGTAAGGTACTGAAAACTACCTGCATACTATCGTATGCTATCTTCTCATAATCATCCTTTGTTCTCCCTACTCATAAAAATCTAACCACAGTGGTTCCGGTTCTCATTTCGATGCATTCTAAATGTTGAATTACTTTCGCCCACATCAATCTTACTACTGCCGCTTTGTACAAGTACCGTCTTAATATTTTTTAAGGATGATGTGTGTCCTGCATCGAATTCAGTCAAACGCAAATATGCTTCATGTCTCACTGCCCTTGGTAAACGTTCGAAAAATGATCTCTGCTGAATTTGTGCGGACGTAGTACAGTTTGTCATTGTTCTTAGTTCCTTCTTAATTTTTAATTGCTTATCTTAGTTCTGTGAAACAGAAGCAGTTGCCCGAAAAGTTTAGGTTTTTCTTTGTATAACTGGAAATTTTATCGATGTTTTTATAGTAGTAAATATGTCCCAGACAGCTTGTATAATTCGTTATCAGTTTATATTTTATTACTTTAAAGTCTTTTTTCTTTTTTCATATCACTTTCTTTGATAATTCGTTATCAGTCTTTTTTCTTTTTTCATATCACTTTCTTTGATAATTCGTTATCAGTTTATATTTTATCACTTTAAAGTCTTTTTCTTTTTCATATCACTTTTTGTGCAAAGTGCTTAATGAATAAGGTTACTCCTATCACTGTTGTAACTATTTACCCCTCTGTTTCCTGTCTATTCACTGCTTCATTATCCTTATTGTTCGTCTTATCCTTATTATTAATACATCCCATATTCAGTTATTGTATACTCTGACGTACAAATCAACCCTCACCGGTTGTAGTGCGTTTATTTAATTGCGTTATACTGCCAACAGTCATAAAAAAATTTTTTTTGGGAATCAACCATCAGTGATTGATAATATCCCTTTGGAATCTCGTTTGATATACAAATTTCGTCAGATTCTATAACTGTGACTATTTGACTCAGACTCTATAACTGATAAAAAAAATCAAAGCAGTACTGTTTGCTGAGTTACGAATTATAGAAATTTGGTGAACATGCGCAGACAGCAAAATACCTATCTCAACAATGAGCTTTTACTTTCGAACTGATTCTTTTCTAAAGGCAATACCTGTTCTTTTTTTGTTAAGTTCTGGTTATGATCAACATTGCGACATATGTATGGTTTCAAGTTGACCAGTCAAGATCAAATAAAGTTCAGCTTTATTGCCGTTAAACATTATTCACAGAATAGATTCTAAAAGTCACTCTGAAAAGTTTAACATGATGAAGATAAAAAATAAGGAATGATCTCACAGGGCGAATAAATGATATAAAGGGAAGAAAGGCAATGATTATATGGTGAGTTGGGATTTACGCCCTATCTACCAAGAAAGATTAAAGAACAGAAGATATAGTAAAACGGAGTATTATATAGCACATCAAGAATTTTTCATCCCATAAGCAGAAAGAGAATAATGAGATAAACAGTTATTGTTACAAAAATGGAGGAAACAAGCTGAGATATAAAAAAAAAAAACAGCAACTTAAACATTCTCATTAAAAGATGTCGTGCGGTAACAGTGTAATGAGCATGCGAATTTCTGTTGGATTAAGGATGTGATTAAAACACTATTTTACATGAGAGAAATGAAGCATAAAAGTGATGGCGCTGGAAAAAGATTATGGTCAGCAGATTGCACAGAGAATCAAAGATCCATAATTGCGTACAGAATTAGAAATTAAGACAAAAGGGTTTGCTAAGAGAATGTCAGAAACTTGAATGAGTTGGAATACAAACAAAACAAAAAAACATTCCCGTTGAAAGATGTCTATTGCAACAGTAGGTAAAAAGAGTTGAATCTGTTTTAAAAATAAGAATAGAACGGTACAATTGTACATGCGCGTAATGAAGCACATAAGTAAAAGTGCAAAGAAAGTTAGATAATATCATCATTATCAAAGCCTTTCTGGTTTTTTGTGAGAACAGTATCATCACCACTGACTTTATCTATTTCATCATCTGCAGGTGCATCCGCTTCACCAGTGGCAATACCTCTCATTTCATCTCCCATTTCATCATCATTCGCATCATTATTTTCTTCACTTAGCTCTTCAGCACACAAAAACGATGAAGTTTTAGCCTTCTGTCTCATGAGGAAGAAATTCTTCGGTCGGTTCAGTTTCATCGTGCAAGGTGACAACATGCTATCGCTGGGTGAATAAATCTGAATATGAATTAGAAGATAGCAAAGCAAAAATAACGAAAGCTGAATAATCTTTCCTTCCCGCTAATTATTATTAACAAACCTTGATAATTAAGATTCATAATTAAGATTAACCATGCTGATCTAGAAATCGACTTCATTAACTCAGTTCTCTCTTTTACTTCACTTACCCCTTCTACTGTTCTTGAACAACTTTCATGTAGCAGACAGTAAAAAGCTACTATCTATGATATTTCAATAACAGTTTCCTTGTCAAAATAGATCTTGTGAAAAAAAATTTGAAATAAACCAAAAACTTACCGCCATTCGTTTGCGCAAGCTGGTGATGCGATCTGTCTGTGTAGAACACGGGGTCGTCTGAAAAGCAAATGCAACAGAAACGTATTGAAAAGTTATAGGATAAAATGAAAACGAAAAATTGTATGAACTAACTTTCCTATCCAACAAAATTTTGAAAAAAATCGAAAAGCATTCATTTTTCACTACAAAGTGTGCCGATGCTGAAAAACAAGTGCGATTGACTACGTAATGTTGCAGTTGTACAGTCTGCACTCTGATTTTAAGTAAACAATAGCTAAGAAATTTCTCTTCGAAAAAAAAAATCGGCAAACGGTTTAGTTCGCGTTTAAAAAAAAAAAAACAAGATTTTCAGGAACAAAAAGTCTAATGGAAATTAGTGAAAACTTACAGGTGCTTTGCTGGATCCAGGTAGCTCGCCACTAGCCGGTGGAGTTGCCGGATAACCAGAAGAATGCTCATCATGTTTGGCACGTTCAGGCGAACAATGCGACGAGTCTGATGATTCGGTAATATTTTCTACATCCTTGAGCAGATCTCCACAATCTGAAGCAAGTTGTGTCACTTCTTCGCTGGAATCAGAATCATTGCATTCGAACTTCGGGAGAGGAGTGATACGATCAGATTCTGCCGCAGGTGAATCGCTTTGATCACTATCGATCTGTGAAGGTTTAACGGCATCACCAGCACATAAATCTTCATCCGATCCTTCAGACCTCTGCGAAAGTACCGTTCCCAAATGTTTTCGTGGATGAGATATCGACTCTTTCCGATCAGTTCTTGTTACTTTTGCTGGTGGAGGAGAAGTGTCACGTTCACTAGCCACAACATTCTCCTGATCAGCGGCTTCATTCTCTGCATTAATTGACGCAGACATTGCTAACTAGAATAAACAAAAACAACTGGATTATTTTTAAAGAAAAGCCGTGAATATATAACTACGAAGCCAAAATCTAAATAAACATTAACAGCACAGAAGTGGAGATTAAGATAAACCTTTTTTTTTTACGGTGGTTTAAATCTATATAAACAAGTCCTTTACATGAAGCCACTCCAAGAAAAAATACTTCAATTCAAGAAGAGTAACACGGTAACAGAAAACATCTAAACTTGTCACACTAACAAAAGATAAATACTCTAACTCCACCTTCACAGATTAGTAACTACTCTCTCTCTTCTCCACTTATCCTTCAAAAAAAGTTATTGGTCTCTACCTTAAGCTTGGAAAACACAAAGAAAGAATGCAACTAAATGCAATTTTATTAAGTCCAGCTATATTAAAATCTTCATAATAGAATATCTTAAATGTTTACATTCTTCATATTTCTGGACATTAACTGGCTTCCGAATGGCTAAATTGAATTATCAAAGTAAAAAAAAAAGATTTTTTTCTTCAAACTCAGAAAATCGCAACGCTTTGTACAGTGTTCCAAAATCCTAATGAAAATTGCCAGTACTAGGAGGTGAAACAGGTAAAAATTTCCCACAAAAATATCATCAAATGTTTTGCCTCCATAATCATTTCCTGATAAATCAGTGACGAATCTTGATAAGATTTAATAAATATAGTTAGAGCAAATTTAGAGTGACTCCTTTTTTTTATCGAATAAAACCTAAATCCGCCAAAGAATAGTTTTTCTCAATATCTATCAGGAGAGAATTCGTTTTTTTTTTCCTTTGTTACTAATATCAAACATGAAACAATCAGGCAGCGATAATGCTAGTATGAGAAAAAACAGACTAAGCCCTCCAGTCCTCGTCATCAGCGCTCTGTGAGCCACCCACTCCATTTAATCAAGATATGCGAAGTGATTCAAATTCGAAATGAACGCGCTAATAATTCACAATCGTTAAATTCCTGATCGCTTCAGGAACCGCTCAGAATGGAACAACTTCCAATCGGGCTTTTGTTGCAACGACAACTTTCCGTATGGGACCGCTGGAATAACTGTGAAATCATATTCGTTAAAGCGATAATATTAACTAATGATTGTACATGTAGTGAGGACTCATACAAATGCAGTTGCATGGATAATTAAGGGAGAGGAAGTTGTTTGACGAGAAACAGGTGACAGATTCACCTGTTGTATTTAGATTATCCTCTTATAACCTTTTTTAATACCCAGAAAAACAGATCAAGTCCACTCGCTGATATATGTGTCTTTTAGCGCTTACATGCATTAAAGGACAGTATGTGAAACTATTCAAACATTCAGTTCAAAACATTTCCTGTAAGTGATGATGTAGCTGTTTGTTAAAAGTGATGTTTCATAAGCAAAGGGCCACTTTTTAATTTATATTGATGATTCAGTTAACATTTTGTATATTTTTTCGGACATACAAGGAATGAAAATGAGTTTAGTATTTAATATAAGATGTCTTGCTGGTGTGGTCTTTTGCTTCTTCTGCTCTAATTTTTGAAAGCATCATGGGACTATTTGACAACTTTCCTCATCTTTATATATGAAAGATTGCTGAGGCCGTAGTCTTTGCAGAATACTTGTAAGTGAAATAAACTCGACCTAAATTTTGAATGTATACCTCTGCTATGTTACTGTCTTTGCAAATCCACTGTTAAACTGAACTGATCTTGAAGTTTTATTTCGAGTTACTTTGGGAAACTTCTACAGATATCAAATAATAAAAATTGAAAACAATCGAATTATGAGTTATTATTACCAATTTCGAGTAATTGGACTTTCGATGCAGTATTCACCAGCATTCAAAACAGACTCTCCAATATTAGCGTGCACAGAGTTCATTCGTTCAAATCGAAAATCTGCAATGTTTCGGGTGCAATCAAATTCATGACAGCTTTATAGAACTTAAAATGTTGAACTCATGGATGTTCTTTTAAACAGTCAGCCATACGGACATTACTTTTTTTTAAAGAAAAGTTTTTCGACTAAATTAAAAAAAATTTTATTTTTTCAGTTGCTCGTTCTCACATACTGAAGCTATGACTTGTAGAAAGTGTCCTAACTACCATAATTGAAATCTTAATCCTGGCCTTTTTGAGGAAGATATTTATTCCTTGTCCACACTACTGCATTCGAACGCAAACATACATTCAAATGCTGCATAAAGTTCACTAGGATATTATTTACTAATATTTCACAAATTAATATCGTATGAGAAACGAATAACTTACAATCATAAAGCTTCCTCAATTCAGCCATTGACATGTTAGCTGCTTCCGAACAATACAGTTGTGCCCAAGATATCTAAACATAGTCTTCATATTTCACGAGAAATCAGAAACCATGAACATTGAGGCAATAAAATAATGATAACATAACAGAACTTAACTAATATTGTTTCGAAAGCTTCCAGCACTGCCAACTTAACTTGTATACACGAGTTTATCGGATAGGTTTCAAGGAAAAATAACGTTATGTGATATAATTTATGTGATAAGAGTGTTAATTCCAATAAATTATGTGATGGCGGTATTAATTCATGTGGTAAAGTTTGTTTTCTGTTGCCAATTAAGAGGGGATCGGTGTTTTAGTGAGATATAATGTTGTTAATGTCGAAGACAGAACATCACTTCTAATAAGCAATTGTTATTTCTTAGATTGTTTCTACTAAGGACTTAACCAAAAGTTCACAGTACCACAAATCTTAACATGTAACTGAAGGGTTGGTAATGCTACATGATATAATTGAAATACCTCAAGATCACTGTTTCGTAGGCCAATTGAGTAAGATCGGCTTGATCGTGCTATAGTTGTAATCATACCAAAATTATATTCAATTACTTTTGAAATAGCTCCAAGTGCAGTGTAGTCATTTATGATGCTTTTTCCATGATTTGAAAGAAGCAAATTAAGCAATGATTCCAGTCTCCACATCGTGTGCTCTAGATTAATGCATGCGTCCTGCAAACAAACAAAAAATTATCTATATATTTCCTAACAATCAAAGACCATTTTCACTACTTACTCTAATTTAATTTATACGTCACAACTCTGTCTTCACCACGGCAATCACTGTACTGGAATAGGGCGAAACATAGTAAAATCTGAGATAAGATTCCTTGAATTTCATAACCTCATCAAAAATAGTTCTCAATTTACAAAAAAAACGAGATCTATATTATATACATCAATGTTTATTAACAGTTTGTAGCTTCATTTAAAAACAAACTTTCAATGATGGATGTGCATGCTCTGCAATAAAATGTTGCAACTTTGGATCGTGAAATGAAATTGCTTTTTCGACACGGCCAAAAATGCGCTCATACAGTCGTTTATCGAAGGAGCGCCACTGTCTGAAATTCAAACAGAGAGCTCAGAAGCTAAAACTGCACACCCAGTTCTGTAAGTATATTTGCAAATCGATAATCGTAAATAACAGATCTTTAAAAAAAATTTTGCAGTAAAGAAACTTATTAACCTTATGCTATCTGCGTTAGTGTTTGCATACGACATAATAACTTGAGACGCCACAAATTTTTTAAGATCCAATTCAGTGCTGCTAAGCAAAAGAGATGCCATTATCTCATTCAGAAGTTCATTGAAATTCATACCGGATGTAGCAGTATTAATTCCAACAACATCTATAGTCGACGATAGAGCTTCAGAAAGCAAATGTCTAGCATATTTCTAAACAAAAATTTACAAAATAAAAGCAATAAAAGCCAAAAAAAAATATTGCAAACAAATATGTCTGCTATATTAGATCTCCTACGAGAGACTATATATATATATATATATATATATATATATACTTAACACAAACAATGAAAATTTTTCAATTTGAATGGCAAATCCACCAACATTGTAGCACATTGACTCAAGAACATAAAAATTAAACATAACAGAAGCCATAATCAGCTCTGAATAGAATTAAACATAACAACAGACCCCACGAAATTTGAAAACCACAAAGCATGAGCAACTCACATGTATTATTGCTTCTTCGACATCCAGCGATAATACAAGTTTTTCATCGTGAAGTCCACCAACATAGTAGCACATTGACTCAAGCACGTAAGTATTTAGTGCAAGTTTCGTTACCAAATGCTAAATACCTACTGTATCACCCACAGCAAAAAACAAATCTTGATGTTCCTACATAAATAATTCTACCTTTTATTCAGAAAGGATGCAACAGAACAGACAATCACCGTAAGAAGTACTCACCTACCTTGACAGCATTCATTTCTGCTAGTGGCAAATTCTGTTGCAATGTTCTGTTGCAGTATTCCGACAAAGAATCTATAAATTATAAGGAAAAATCTCTACGCAATGAAGCAATTCTTCTTGATAATGTGAAACCTTATCAAGTTCAAAAAAAAAAAATACTGTCTTCATTTAAGTTGCCATGAATAATGGTTAAGACATATAAAGTCTCACTTCATATCCCACCGTGTTTCGATATATGTTACTAATCACAAAAAATCTTTTGCAAATAAATGAGGAGAGTTATAACTAGAGGAGTGCAATTCGACTGAATTAAATTATGAACATGATTTATTTCTTCCCTGATATACAGAATAAACAATGTACAACATACTTATTAACGTTTTCATAAAACCTACGACGGCAGCACCAAATGTAATTCGCTTTACCAATGTTTTTGGTGAGATTTTTTTTTCATCTACAGGCTTTCCCAACACTGCACTTGACTCTACAGTCATCTGCTTGAAATCCAATAAATTAACTGAAGAAAAAAATATTGGCAGTACAATTAAAAATAGTTGGAAATGCTATGATATTCCATAAAACTGGAACTTTCAATGAAACTTTGGAAGGAATCCTGAATGGTCCAAAAAAATATTTACCTTTCAATCCGTCTCTTCCAAAAACAGATGTTTTTGTTCCCATTTCAAAAACACTGTTTCCATCTTTTCGTTCAAAAAGGTAGCATACTACCTTATCTCCAGCCTAGAAATACTTATCAAGCAATTCTTATAAAGATCAAATTTGTTATAGACACATTCACTGCACGAGTGATAGGGGAAAATTAGTCAATGATATGTAAAATATGTAAATGACACAGTTTGGAAAGTAAGAGTTAAAACGGCGGTAAGAATAAAAAGGAAATTATTCTTACCGCCTTGAATAGCAAAGAATTCCTTGTAGTTCAAACGAGTATGTGAAGTAAAATAGAGACAAAGAATCGTAAACTTATATTTGACCAGTGAATCAAACCTGCTTAGCAAAAACAAGAAGTAAATTAGCATCTTCTGCATTGATAAAATAATTTGTTGCAATCAGATTTTGTTTGCCATTAGTAGGGTCACATAAAGATGTTACTGATTTCAAATTTGGTTCCCTAAAAATATTAAAAAATCTATCCACAGAAACATATGTACACCACTTCATCCTGAAAACGGAGACGATGGATTACCCGCAGACGACGTCGATGGATTACATCGGTTTATACAACCGCAGTAATTCGTGAATTATTACAAAAATAGTGGATAGCATTTAAACAGAAAAAAAAACTAACATTTCAGGTCTGGAAAAACCAACCACAGGTCGAATTACTCCCGATGCAATTTGCGGTAAATAATGCAACTTCTGCAGGTCGTTACCGTACAGCGAAATAAGAGATGATGCTAAATGGGTCTGCTCGAAACGAAAATAAAACCTCCAACATGATCCTAATCCCTCACAAATAGTCAAAAGATCTTTGTAACACATATCGACACCACCTGAATATTTCTACTGTAAATTACTTGAAACAGGAATTTCAAGACTGAAGATTTAGTTTTATCGTTGTTCAATTTGATAATACTTATTAAAAGAGGTACAAAAGTCAGAAATATAAATTCCCATGCTTTGCAATTGTCATTAATATCCAAACATATTTCTTTCTTCTTTATTTTTTATAAAATTATGAAAACCAAAACATCATACCATATTTCTTTGGAACAACGTACGAAGAGAGTTTGTAGTTATCCCAAATAGCCATAAGAGAGTCCTTCTGATTTGCTGAAAAGAAAAAAAAAATATATATATATATATAAATAAAAGATAAGGATATCTAAAATCTTAGTACACAAAAAATGTTGCAGTAACATAAATCCTGCTATCCAACCTGCTGCTTTGATATCCTTATTGAGTGAAGATAACAACTGTAACATCTTATTAGCTTCGTCTGTATCAGAATATTCCGGATAAATGAGGAAATCCTTCAAAAAATTGACAACTTTCATATAGCTCACAAGAAATCATAAAACTGATAAAATTTTTTGTTACTGCTCATTTAATGATGAGTTTGCAGCATTAAAGGCTAACTTTATATAAGTATCAAGATACAACTATCTATCAAATATAATTCGTTTTAATATACTCGATTTCTATAGTAGGAGATGGATAATTCTCACAAAATGGAGAAAAATCAATCGGAAAGATCTGGTGAAAACGTGAAGATAACTACACAGTAAATACAGCATAAAGTTGCTGATTTCAGACGGCTCACTGGAAAATTTGATGAAATGAAAAAGATGCAAGAGAGTAAGTTGTCCTTTTTTCAAAAAGAAAATCTCATTTCAAAATATAAGGTTGGTGTTAGAGGGATGTAATAAAATTTGTAAGTCAACAGTACCAAGAGCTTGCAAAACAGATTACAAATTGAGGAGAAAGTTCCACCATATAAACAATACAAAGGAAGTGGATTTAAGGAATTTCGTTAAAACCTGCAAAAAAAGTGGATACCAAAATTCAAAAATATGTGTGTTTGAAACCTAAATCTATAGAATACAAAAGTACTTTTTCAAAACGATTTAGTGCAAGTCCACGACTCAGTGAAACTCTTTGAATTGGTATGCCATGTTCCTTAACAATATCAAGTGCTGATAAACCACAGAGTCCCTTTATAACTTTGGAGTTTTCTGTTTTTACTGAATGACAACTTCTCACGGGTAATATACTCTTTATACCAACAGAATATAACTGAAACAGGACCATTTTCAACGCATGATTTCTCCTCATCTGCAAAAAAATTTAACTACAGTTTGATTCTTGTCGATAAGGAATTAAAAAGCGATTCAAACCAATGCATACAAAAAAAAAGGAAAAAAAAATCTGTAGTAGTTTTCTCAGTTATTCAACAGTAGCCAGTATCTGCGCTTCCTTACTTTTCCTCGCAACACTTGTTTCTTCCCTTCATATTTAAACTCTCGCTCATTAAGCGAAACGATTCTTACGAATATAATTGCACGTCTATTATACGCCATCCATATGAAGTGTTAGAATGTCAGAAAGTGCTTACTGTTTCATTTGTTATAGAAAACTCATATGAAAAAAAATCCCATACATTCCGTATAATGATACATGCTAATTCTTCTTCTCTCTTCTTCCCTTGTATTTACTATTGTCCTATCTCTTATCACAAACTTGTTTCAGCAAAGTAAGGAAATGTATAGGATAACGAATAAATTAACATATGAATGAAAAAATATCAACGATAACATTCAACTAAAAGTACAATACCCGACAACCAAGACCGTATTACCTCAAGGAAAAAACAGATTCCAAACAAAAAAATTAACCAATCGAATGTAACAGACCACCGGATGGCTCATAAAATAGAAAATACTCTATGAATTTGAATCCCTACAATTAGAATATACCTTTTTAACAGAGTTGCTCTGAGAATGGGTGAGATTTCACTTGCGTCAAGTAGGAATTTATTTCACACGGGATATCCGGAAGTGTAATGTGGACCTCGGGACAAGGGATTTCATTCTAGCCTAAGAGATGTGACCTGTTTCTAAAAGTTAGGGAGAAAAGTTTTCAGAAAACTTCACAAGTTCGATTTTCCCTGTTCCTCATTAGACGTTTGATACTTTTTTTTTTTTTTTTTTATTAACCGAATACTATCTGATTGTGTACTTTGGAGCAAATTATTCCAAAAACTGGATCTTCCGAAAACGATTACGAGAGTTTGGGTATACTGCTACCGGCGTTCTAGTTTACTCTTCTAAATCTATTCATGCTACTCGTATGATTCGAAATCCTAATTTCTTTATTATGTGTATATATTTTGCAGGCTTATAATGCCGTTAACAGGACTGGATTTAGCCGTTTATGGATTTAACCGAAATACTCGGAAAATAGAGGAAGCAGGGATTTCGTATGAATTAAGAATTATTCGCGATAAACTAACACTTGGTGTAAATACTGAACCTATTTTGAAACAGTCACCACCCATTGAACGCTTTACTGGAAATTGGACTAATCTGGGCTGTGCGGAAGGCAATAGAAACTATGTATCGATTTTTACTTTAAGAATAGAATTTAATCCGAAAATTTTGACTTAATTTCTTATTAATGTCATGTTTTTTTTTTTTTTTTTTAAATAAACGAAGAAACAATATGAATTTAGGAAGTGAATGAATTTATGGATCCGGATGACGAACAGTATCTCAGTTTTTTGAGAAATTTGGATTCAAAATATTGCAAGGATCAAGACCACTATAAAGTCCTCGGGTTATCAAATTTACGATGGCAAGCCAGTACTTCCCAGATTCGTACTGCTTGTGGGTCATAAAAAATTTGTTTTAGTATGATTTTATTGTCTCATATTTTCTGATTAATCTACTATTTTCGGTTTGTGTCTTGGTAATAGAAAATTTAAGTTCTATTAAATGTCTAAAAATTCTAGGACTTCCCAAACTGAAATTTATTTAAACTTGTGAAACGTTTTCTTCTTTACTTATCTTTTTTTTTCGTCGCTTTTCACTCTTGGTAAAAAATCTTTGCAGATCGTGCCAAAGTGTTGAAGCATCATCCGGATAAAAATAATGCAGTAAGGATTGAAGCCACCAATGGTGAAGACTACTTCACATGTATTACCAAAGCTTATGAGCAATTAGGATTATCGGAGCAGAAAAGAAGAGCCTATGATTCTGTAGATCCGTTATTCGATGATTCGATCCCAGACGAGAAAATAATCAGTCCTGATAATTTCTACGATATTTTAGCGCCGGTCTTTATTAGGAATGCAAGGTTGTTAAATGATTTTACTTTTTTTTTTTTTTTTTTCAGTTTAAAACTCTGCCACTGTGATATTCTTTTCTAGGTTGAATATTATATGATCTGTATTTTCGGAAAGTTTATCCAACTAAATCGTTTATTGTGGATTCACAACTTTTCCCGTTGCGCGTGTGTGAAGCTGTAAAAAGGGAACACTGCTTGTGCTGTAAAAAATAAATAAATAAATAATAAAGAAACTTTCTGAATAGAGTTTCAAACTTTTTTTTTTTGAGTGAAGTTTGATCTCGGAAATTCCTATATGTACTAGCATGCGATTAAGTGGTAGGAGTATTCTTTATTTTATTTTCACTAATGTTTGAACACTGTGATAAAATTAGTGTAGAAATTTAATATTATCATCTGTTGTTCTGAAATTGTTGAAATCAAGCTAACACTGTTGTACTTATTTAACACTCTATTGTAAAGGAAATGAGATGTTTGTACACCACATAAAGGATTATAAATTTATATCAATTTTAGATGGTCTGTTCGACAGCCTGTACCATTACTAGGCGATATCAATAGTGTACAAGCTGAGGTAGACAGGTTTTACTCATTTTGGTTTAACTGGGATTCATGGCGTGAATTCTCATATCTGGATGAAGAGGACAAAGAGAAGGGAGAAGATCGGTGGGAAAGGCGTGAAATTGAAAAAATAAATAAGGTTAATATTTATATTTTTGAATAGGTATCAAGTCAAAAATTAAAATCATTGATATATGGCTCATACTAGGAAAAAATTTCAGAGTAGTACGTATACGTATGTAGCAGAGTGTCTGCGTATTGCGTTTAAATTATCTACTCAGTCGGAAGTTCTCTTTACGTTAACATAAATATGCGTACCAATTTCCTACTTTCAAATTATGAACTTGCATATAAAATTTTGCTATCTTTTGTTAGGTTGAACGGGAGAAACGGCGTAAGAACGAAATGAAACGAATCAGAAATCTTGTTGAAATGGCGTACCGTAAAGATCCTCGAATAGCAATTTTCAAGGAGCAGGAGAAACTGAAAAAAGAGAAACAAAGGGACGAACGCAGGAAAGCTTTGGAAGAAAAAAAAGCCCAAGATGAGAAGAAAAAATTGGTATTGTCTGGTCTGAACTTAAGATTCAGCTTGCTTTTTGCAGAGATAAATAATTTTACAATCTTTTCTTCCAGGAAATTGAACTGGAAAATAAGAAAATAGAGGAAGAAAAATTAGAAAAACAACGGCAGCAACTAGCTTACGAAAAGCGGATAAAAGAGCAACAGAAAAAATTGCTTAGTGAAGCTCGAAGAAAACTTCGTAGAACAGCTGAGGTTTGTTTGTTGCATCGAATTCGTTATGTTCTAATCCGCCTGTTGAGTCCATACCTCTAAGAACTTTACTTTGGGTAGTGGTTTAGTAGTAACAACAGTAGCACGCATAAAAGGAAAGCTTCAAAGAAGCTAAAAAAATAACTCTGTGTTATTGGCTAAACGAGTATTTTGAGTCAACGCGAGTGAGATAAGTGGGATAGTTCTACTGCTTGTAGCGTGAGTTTCCTCCGAGTTTATACGTGGCCTAAAATCAAACAATAAAAGCAACACTAAGTAATTACGTAATAAGATATTGCTAACAAAATAATACTTCTGAAAAAATCTGCAATGCTTAGGGTAAGAATTACTGGGATGCAGATGTTTCATCCAAGTTGTCATGTTTGGAAGCAATTGAACATGTCTGTTTGCGGCTGGATGCATTTCGTTTGAATGAAATTACCGCCAGGCTTGAATTATTAAGCAGTTTGAAAGAAGCAATGGACACTTTGAAGGTTCAGGTACACATATTTACTTGAAAAAGATTTCACTGGTATGAAGTATGAGCTCCTGTCCCCTCTTACAGTACATGGTGCTTCATTCACTTAAATTTTGTTATCATTTCCAGCTGCGTAGATGAAACTTCAAAAAGGAAATAGTAAGGCGTACGGACTGTAGCCTATTTTATAGAACTGTTTCAGATTCATAAAGAAGTTCCAGAAAGTATTGAAACGAAAGATGGAGTTCCTCCTGAATATACTACTGATACCATATCTCGTTGGTCCCCCGATGAAATCACGTTATTAGTTAAAGCTACTACTTTGTATCCTATTGGCACCATCAAAAGGTTGGAACTCATGTTTCTACTTTGTTCCAGACCTCGTCATTATTGGCTTTGAATCAGTACTATATGGTGTTATAAATTGCAGATAGAATGTACGTTGAAGCTGGCCACAATATGGAAGTTTTCAAAAGATTTTGTTTTGTGAAATTAAATGAAGGAAAGTGTTTTTAGGTGGTCAGAGATTGCAAACTATATTAATGAGCACCGTGAAAATAAACATGCAAAAAAGAAAACAGAAAAAGATGTCTTGATTCAGGTTTTCTATTTTTATTGTTCACTGACAGCGTCTTTTATGAATCACTTAGCAACTTCGACTGCAGTTTCGTTTTACATGCCGTACATCATAAAATGCATTTTGAAAAAAAAGAAGCATTTTTTATTATGCTCACTAGTTATATTTAGTGCCTACAGAATAGAGCTTTTGCAAAATACATATCACTAAAAAAAAAAGGATGATTAATGCAGTTGTTCCTCACTTTGAATTCATTTCCAACTTATTAAAATTTAAAATCACTTAGTTTCAGGTGAAAACACTGAAGTCATTAAGTAACTCTCAAGAACATAAGAAAGTGAAGGATTTTTTGGTCAATTCAGCAAAAGGAAGTGAACTGGAGTGGAATGCAGAGGAGCAAAAGTTACTTGAAGCAGCACTTAAAAAATTCCCCTCATCAGATCCAGCCCGTTGGGAAAATATTGCGAATTTTGTGGGGAAATCGAAGAGGGAATGTATACAGAGGTTAGTAAATTATTTCCAGTATTGCTGTAAATTTTTCTCAACAACACTACTGAAAGGAAGATGTAGAAGGAAG